GCTCCACAGGTAAAAGTGTTTGGCATCAATCCTGACGATCTGAGTTTGATCCCTAAAACCATTGTGAAAGGAGAGAACCAGACTCCTGCAAATTATCCTCTGACGGGGTGGGGGGGATCAATGTACAAATAAAATAAAAATAAAAGTTGAGAGAGAGAGAATATCAATCTATCAGTGTACAAATAAAATAAGAATAAAAGAAATAAAAGTGTGTTTGGGGCCAGGGATGTATTCCAGTGAAATGCTCATGCTTAACATACACAAGGCACTCAGGTCAACAGTCAGCAGCAAAAAATGTGTGTTTCTGTAACTGTCCTGGCAGGAGTGAAGATATTCTAAGGATAAATAGGCCCTTCCTTTGGCTATCAGGAGGCTTTTGAAACAATGCATGCCAAGGAATTGGAATTTCCCCCAGGAGTCTCATGCTGGGGAAAAGAATAGGTTTAATCCTTGTTGCCAGTCAGAGGAGGAAGGAAGTTGTCTGCCAGGAAGAGATTTCACACAGTTCTGACTTGTCAGGCCACCTTGCAGAAGACTGGAGCCCAGTCAGTGATGGATGATACCACACCTTTGCCAGTACTGCTTCGTCATGCACACCTCTGGCCTTCTATTTAAAACTAAACCTCCCTCTGGGCTCTCCAAGATGAACCTAGGCATCACTGGACCTCTTTTATTTGTTCCTCTTCCCAATGTGGCCACATTTAATAAATCTCCTTTCTCTGCTTTTTACTGTTACTTGTCTCTTTAATTGATGTACTGAGAATGGCTGGCCAAGCCTAGCTTATTTTGACCACAAGGACCCAGGCTTTTTTTAAACATGTGTATAATCACACTCACCTTGCCCCCTATCATTAGCCTCTCTTATCCCTTTCCACTCCTGCTTCTTCCAACAAGTCCCTTTCCCACTTCCATGTCTTTTGTGTGTATGTGACCCACTGAGTTTAATTGGGATTTCTTGCATGACCATAGATAGGGGTTTATTTACTGAAACATGGGCAACTAAGTTAGCAATGGCTACACCAGTGACGAATATGAATGCCTCCCCTCCGCCATCAATTATTAATTACCAGTAGCTATCCAGAGAAGGGTGGAGCCTCATGAGGCCCTTCCCCAACTATGATGCATATTGATGAAGATCCAGGCTTTGATTCTAAACCTCCATAACATTTTGATGTAATAAATAAACTGAAATGCCTTTATCACAACTAAATACAAATCCTCTATTTTACAAAACTGAAATATGAATGGGTCTGATGAAACCATGTGAGTTCACTTTAACAATCATTTTGACCAAATGTTTGAGAGATGGCTCAGTGGTTAAGAGCACTAAGTGCTCTTCCAGAGGACCCAGGTTCAATGCCCAGCACCCACACGACAGCTAATTCCAGTTCCAAGGGTTCTGACACCCTCTTCTGACCTCTGAGGGCATTGTGCACAACATGGATGCACTTACATATAGGTGATACACTCATACACATAATATATAAATAAAGTATTTTTAGTAAACAATCATTCTGACCAATGACTTTTACCAATAAATTACATCTACTTTGACTTTTTTAAGTAAATCGTTTAAAAGAAGCTTTAAAAAAAAAGTTATCTCCATCTTCTCAAATGTAAAAAGCTCTGACCTGAAGGTAATTCGCTACAACTTGGCTCAATGCCCATTTCTCATCAAGGAGACCAAAGAAAGCCAAGGGGCAGTAAGAATTAAGCTCTTGTTTCAAGAAATTGGGACTAAATAGAAGCTGGGCTGCCAACATAATACCATTAATCCCCTTACCTTTCCATGGATACAAGAACACATTGTTCCTTTTTAGGTCACAAGACATATCCTTGGACAATTAAGTAGAACAAGAAATCCATTGCATGCCCTATGTGATTGAACTCAGGAGAAAGTGATGTCTGCAATAGGCTTTTACCAATTTTGCTAAAAAATCCAGAAAATAACAAATTACTTGTTAAGATTTATAAATAGATAACAATTTTTGGAAAAAAAATGGCCTTTTTTCTGGCACATTTAGTCCATCTTCCTGTAAATGACTACATGATCAAGTTTGTGGGTGTGTGTCCAAGACACTGCAGAACTGGTTTATCCATCAATTTAATCCCAGTGGTCAGTGTATAGCAAGCTTTCAGGACAAGGTACTTACTTCTGTGGCTCCCACCTCAGCAATGAGGTTCCACTGGCTAACCCATAGGCCAAATGAAGGAAGATGTGTTCCTTACACCTTCACCTTTGGTCTTTACAGAGAAACGTTCACTGATACCTGGTCTAGCCTTTTGTACTTTGTGAGATATACAATCTGCAACAAAAACTCCTATAGAGCCTGGGAATCCAAGTCAAACTAAAACACCTTTATATGATATGCTTTTCATGTTCAAAATAAAGAGCCGGTGCAACTCAAAACAAAACAAAACAACAAAAGCTAAACCACATCAGCTATTCCTAGACTTTCACAATGTTATAAAAGAAAATATTTCGAAGGTAAATTCCACAAATTCTGAATGTTACAGAGTTTGTCATTTTTGCCCAAGAATGGAAGAGGGGGGCACCAAGAGTGGGATTAACAGTGCCAAGAACACAGCAATGCACCGAATAACATAATGACAAGAAGAGCCAGAGTGCATTTGGCTCCTGCCTTTAATCCCAGCTCCTGGGGAGAGAGAGGCTAGATCTCTGTGAGTTCAAGACCAGCTTGCTCTACATAGGGAGCTCCAGGCCAACCAGGGCTACATGATGAGAACCTGTCTCAAATAAAAAGAGAAAAAAGCTAGAAAACAGGAAAAGAGGCTCAAAGAGTTACCATTGTGAGGTAATAAATAAGTTATCATCGTGAAATAAGTAAATTTTTTCCCTTTTTCTAATATTTTATTATTTTTATTTTATGTCTATGAGTGTACTACCTAAATGTAAGTGCACCGTGTGTGCAGTGTCCCACAGAGACTAGGAAAGGGTGTAGGATCCCCTGGATCTGGAACTGGAGTTACAGATGGTTGTTAGCCACCATGTGGGTGCTGGGAACTGAACCCAGGTCCTCTGTAAGAGCAGCCAGGGCTCTTTACCACTAAGCTATCTTGTCCATTTCAATCTTTGTACTATGATCATCTTATTTTTATTTAGATTTATTTTTATTTTTAATTATGTGTGTGTGCACGCAAGTAGGTTCTGGTGACTGCAGAGTAATTATAGAGTCCAGAAGCAGGAATCAGATACCTCCAGAAGAATAGCAAAGCAAATGCAAACTATTAACATTTGTACTAAACACTTCTAAGAAAATTAACAACAGGTCCTAGTTTGCTTTCTCTGTTGACCAAAACAACAAACAGAAGAAAGAAAGAGTTTATTTCATCTTACACTTCCAGATAATAGTTCATCACTGAGAAAGGGCAGGTCAGGGACCTGGAGTCAGGAACTGAAGCAGAGAACTTGGAGGAACAATACTTCCTGGCCTGCTTCCCCCTGCCTTGTTCAGCTACCCTTATACAGCCCAGGGCCATCTGCCCAAAGGGATAGCACCACCCACAGTGAACTGGGCCCTCCTACATCAATAAGCAATCAATAAAATGCCCTAGAGACATGCCCACCAGCCAATTTGTTAGAGGAAATTCCTCAATTGAGGTTCCTTCTTCCTAGGTAGTTTGTTTCAAGTTCACAAAGACTAACCAGCACAAAAGATATTAGGATATAGGCTACTGTGAGAGTAGCCTATACATATTGAGGTGTTTTGTTTTGTTTTGTTTTGTTTTGTTTTGTTTTGTTTTGTTTTGTTTTGAGATAGGGTCTTACTGTGTTGCTTAAGCTAGCCTGGAACTCACTATGTAGACTGAGCTAGACTGAGAATCACAGAGATCTGCCTGCCTCTGCCTCCCTCATATTGGGATTAAAGACATACGTGTGCCACCATGCTCAGTTTACATTTAGGTTATATTTAAAGGAGAGTAAATTTCTGGGCATCTATCTAGCTTTCTGTAAGAAAAGTTATATGATATGCATACTATAGAAACATAGCTTAGGGCATTCAGTTACAATTTTGGAGGTCACTATTCATCAGATCATCTACTGAACAAAGAAGAATGATATAAACTGTAAGGTGAGTGACATTGCAAAAGTTCTTTTAAATGTTCCATAAAATTGCACATCCCAGGCTGGGCATAACAGCACTCAGGTGACTAAGGCAGAACAAATGCTACAGGTTGGAAGACCACCTGAGCTACATATGAAGTTCCAGGCCTGGAACACAGAAAACCTGCCTCAAAAACCAAAGAAGAGGCAAACTTCTTTGGCAAACTAAAGAGGCAAAGGCAGGCAGATCTCTACGAGTTCAAGGCCACTGAGGTCTACATAATGAGTTCTAGGCCAGCTGGGGCTACAAGGAGACCCTTTCTCAAAAGAAAAAAAAAAGAAATAAACAAGAGCTAGTGAGATAACTCAGTGGATAAAGGCACTTGCTGAGAAGTCTGAGGACCTGAATTCCATTCCCTGAACCCACATGGTGGAAAAAGAGAACCAATTATCACAAGATGTCCCCTGACCTCTACTAGCACACAGTAGTACACATACACTCACTCTCACACAGCAAATAAATAAACGTAATAGAAAATTTTAAATTTATCAACAAAGGCTGGAGAGATGGTTCAAAAGTTGAGTGTGTACTGTTCTTGCAGAGGATCTGAGTTTGTTTTTGAAAGACCACATTGGGCATCCCACAATTATCTGTAACTCCAGCTCCAGGGGGTTCCAACTCTTCTCTCTGGCCTATGGCATCTTCAGGCACCTGCACTCACAAGCCCATCACACCCCCCTACATACACACACATACATGCAAACAAGCAAACAAACAAAAGAACTAATAAGATAAAAACTTTAAAAACAAAACAACAACGGAAATGCTGAGTGCTTCAATTTTTGATTAATTATTTTAAGATAGAAATTTGCAATAATGAACTGTCCCAAATTAGTACAAACAACCACTTAAGATTTCATACTGTTGGCTTACTCTGTTGCTTCTCTGCTGGGAACTTTTCTCATGGAGAATGCCACCATTGCCCTGAAGAGATATTCTTCATTTGTATCCCAGACATACTGTGAGAAAAGGAAAAAAGAAAGTTAGGTGTATGGAGTGAAGGTCAAAGGAGTCCATTTGTAGGTATGTCCTGCCATCTTCCCTCTCATTCTCTCTCTCCCCAACTCACACATCTTTCTCACATACTGGAGATCATGGCAATTTGTGTCCCGTAAACACCACGGTTGGACAATCTGTAATTCCTGATGCGTTTCCTGTTGTAAAATCTTTCTTAGAACCTGTGTGATGGTTTGAATGAAAATGTCCCCCATAGGCTCCAAGTATTTGGACATTTTGTCCCCAGATGGTGGTGCTGTTTTGGGAGGTTTTAGAAGGTGTGGCTATCCTGGAGGAAGCACATCACTGGGGGTGGGCTTACAGAGTTCTTAAGCTTTGCCAGATCTCCAGTCGCTCTCTTGCTTCCTGTGCCTGCATGATGATGTG